TCTGGTTGAGAGACTGAGGCACCGAAGGTCACACAGCAAGCTAGTGTCAGGCCAGGCTCATTCCAAACACAGCAGTGAGATGAGAAGGATGTATGTGCCAGCCTCCAGCCCTCTACCATTAGGTGCCTCAGGCTAAGAGGAGGCTAGGTCTATGAAGTGGTGGGTCTTCCTGCGGGTGTGTCTCAGCCACCATCCTTCCATGCACCCCAAGACTCTGCTGCCTGTCAGAGAGGAGTGGCCTTCAGAAGCCTGAGCACCTGTGTGGTGTGCCCAAGGGACAAGAGCTCGCAGCCCCTGGGGACTGGACTGTGGGCTTTCTCAGGGCTGAAACCACCCTTGACCCCTAGCTCCTCACCAACCCTGACACCAAACCTGAGTCACAGGGCCACCCTCCATGTTCTGAAATAATCCAGCAATTTTGCTCAATCACACTTGCTGACCTCCAGCCTGATGTGGTCCCTAGAGGTGGAGTGGCCCAGGACTCCTAGGGCTGGGGGTAGGGAGCAGGGCTATAGTGGCCTGTGTGCTGGCTGCAGGCACAATCTGAAGCTGTACAGCTTGGCAAGTTCTGTCAAGGTATAAACGTTGCAGACTCTGCAGATCTCGCCTGGGCCTGCAGGCGAGTTAGGTATCAAGTTGTGGCTACAGCTTGATACCTAATTATTTTCCAGAACAATTGATGTTTATCTTTCCTGGTTTGGTGAAGGAGCTCATAGTCTGAGAGGTATACAACGTAGGAAGCTGCTGGGATTGTAGAGTAATCACTCACCTCCAGTAAACTGTTCAAATGATTAGGATTAGGGTTGGACTTGAGGGTAGAGGGTCAGAGCATGGAAGCACTTCAGGATCTGAGTTCCTGTGGTGACAGGTAGGGCTTCGTGCTCAGGGGTTAGGTCATTAGCAGTTGGGGAGAGAGCTGTTATGCCAAGAAGACATTGGAGCATGTGTGAGGGGCTTTACAGGCCAGGCGAAGGGCTCTTTGCTGGTCTAGAAGAAGCTGGGGGTTTGGAGATGTCCTGGTCATTGTGGGCTCCCCACCTGGTCCAGGTACCCCACTGCTCAATCCCCTGTAAGTAGCCAGAAAGCCCCAGTTCCCCTGAGCCACTCACCAGGGCTGACCCTTTTGTGGCCACACTGAGCCCTCAGGGTAAGGGTGAGGTGAAGAGACCAAAGGAGGAGGGACCTTGAGTCTTGAGTCTTGGCCATTGGATTTGGAGTGGATGGGTGCTAAGGCTGGGGAGGAGGGTCTGGGGAGGGGGGATCAGGGCAAAGATCTGATTTGAGTTCTGAAGGATACAGAGAGAAGTGGGGGCGGTAACAAGCTGCACAGACATTGATGGAGCCCCTCCTGTGTGACCACTGGCACTGGAGGGGTAGCACAGGGGCCATGAGGTGAGGTTTTCACTTGCCCTCCTGGGCCTATCTTCCTGGGAGACCTCTGGGCCCCCAGGTCAGGAGCCCTGGTTAGGGTACCACCAACCCTAGCTCCCTGCCCCTTCCAGCCTATCAATGCCCTGGAGAGACTGGACTCTATCACGACTCTCACTTACCAGCCTTTCCATACCCCAGCTTTATTGGAGCAGCAGTTGCTGATTCTGCAGTTACAGAAATATTTTTTCAGCACACCCCCTCCATTTCCCACCCTTTGCCTCATCTGCCAGCCCAGGGCCAGTAAACCCCCACCCCACCCTGGATGCCAGTCGCTTCTGACACTCCTTTAATCCCATTTTCTACAGCTCTAACCACATGTACCAGGCTCCGGTGAGAGGAGAGGGTCTCAGAGGCTGTCCTTCGTCCTTTTACAGGATTTCCATACTTCTATATACAGGACAACACTCTTTAAGGCTTCCTTGAACTGTGCAAAATCACTGAACTCAGAAGTACAGTTCTTGGGTGATAGTGTTGGCTAAAAAAGAAATATATATTTATAAAGTCATCTCAGCAGGGGAAAAGAAGCCAACTCTGTTGTCCCAACCAAAAGGGTCACATGGTAAGCCCCCCATCCTCTAGGAGGTAACTTAGCAGGCCCTCCCCATCTGTTTTAGGGAGGACACTAAGACCCATTTGGTGATTGCAGAGCCCAGAGCCTTGGGGAAAAAGTCAGCAGGGTGTGGGCAGGTCCCACAGCTGCCTGGGACAGGGACACAAGGATCATTAAGGGACTGTGCAAGCAGTGGATAAAGAAAGCACCTCAGTCATTTCCCCACAACTCCCTCCACCCCCCACAAACCGGGGTGGCACTGAGTGGCCCTTTCCTCTATCCAGGCTGAGTCCATGACCAGCTTTATTGGAGCAGCAGTTACTGATTCTGCAGTTACAGAAATATTTTTTCAGCACCCCCCCTCCATTTCCCAGACCTGTCTTAGACCTACTGCATATTGACCCCTGTACGTGGGGGCTTGGCAGAGATCATGACAAACCTCCAGAACGACCCCTGGGTCCCCACTCCCAAAAGCCCCAGCCCCCACCAACAAGTGGGCTTCTTTTAGATTGGAAAGTAGTGCCTGAGGCCTCACATGGGGCACACGGGGGGCATAAGAAGTCCTTTGCCCTGCTGGGCCCCTGACTATGGTAGCAAGAAAAATGATGTCTCAGGTTTCCCCAAGAGCAAACAGCAACTTACTTGAAGCTTTGTGCAGATTTGGATAAGTTGTTTCATATTCTTATAAACCTTATGTAGGTGATCATTCTTGTTATGGTTCGTAATGAGTTTCTGCAGGGTGGAGATGAAGTCCTTTATAAACTCCCCGTAGCAGGACTCCTGAAACAGGGTTGGGGACACCGGGATGGTGGTGGTGCACAGCGGAGCACCAGCTGACCCCCAACCTCATCCATCCCTTGTCACCCTGGCCAGAGGAGCCCTGGGCTCACTGTGAGCTGTGCAGTTGGTCTCTGGTCTCTCCCCAGGCCCAGGGTTGATCTGGGACAGTGATCAGAGAGCCTGGCAAAGCCTAGGACCTGGCCGTTGCTTCATCTGTTGGCTGGGCTAGAGGCTCCACCCTCAGACTCTCAGCTTTCCCCCCAGATTTCTCTCTCCAGCATCTTTTGTTTTTATCTCTGCCCGAGGTGCCAACTGGGGTGATCACTTTGAAAAGTGGTCAGCAAGGTCCATGTGGTGGCTGGCTGCTCCTTACCTCACTGGTGTTCTGGGGACTTTTGAAGTAACCCTGGAAGCAGGAAAAGTTGGTTGGAAACACAAAGGGCTACTGAGAGCCAAGTGATACTTGATGAAGACCCAGACTTACGTCGTATGTAGTGTTGTCAGCCAAAAGGTTCTGCTGAATCTCAGCACAGATCGCCCTGTGATTGTCATAGAGAGGCCCACTGGTTATCTTCATTGGGGTGGAATGGCTTTCCAAGCCCCAGAGCACACAAGCCAGGAGCACATACAGGTACATGGTGTAACTTAAGAGTGTCTCCGAGCCGATCCGAGCCCTGGGCTTGGCAGCATTTCTGTGGGGAGGGGTACCTATATATGTGGGTCTAAGGAAATGCTAAATCTCTTATCAGTCATCACTGACTTATATGGAAGATAGAGAGGACCTTATCGCTGGGCAAGATGTGCTTTTCATGCATTTTGTATGACCACAGCACACTTCATGGATTCTTGTCTTTGTTGAAATTCAGGTTTGGTCCAAGACATTTTATTCATACTCACATTTTGAGTCATGACCCTTCTGCCTGTGTGGGGGGCAGATCTTTGGCCAGTACTGGTGCTATCTGCAGGTGCTGACCAGCACAGAGAGAGCAGGTGGGGTGGAGAGAGAGCCAGCAGGGGGTAAAGCTGCACCAAGCCAGCTTCCCCAGGCCCACCTCTCAGGAAGAAGGCTGGTCACCCTCCACCTGACACCTGGGGACACACCCACTTTCTCACAGTCCCCAGGAGAGACACGGGGAGACAGGTGCAGGAACAAGCCCTCCAGCTCTACTGGCAAAGCGAGGGGAGAGAAGAGAGCTGCTATGTTCTCATTCTGAAGGCCATGAATTTTAGGAGAAAGTGCCTGACTAGATACAAAATTTCATGTAAAAACAAAAACCTGCTCAGAAAAATGCCACAATAGAGCCATGTACCAACAAATTATAAACTTACATTCTGATTCTCAAAGATTAAGATCACCCATTAGGGGGAAAGTGTGGTAAATATGCTGAGCTCTCTGATCCCTGTGGTTTGGTTTCTTTTCCCCAGAACAGCTAGACTATCTGCTGTTTCACCTTAGGAGTGTTGAAGCCCTGACTGTGAGGGGCAGGGTGTGGCCTCTGAGGGGCACAAGTATTTTGTCTGACACTAGGGGGTGCCTGTTCAGTCATCAATCAGCCAAGCCGGATCACTCTCAGGCCTGTCCTAGAAGGAGGATGCCCCTTCTCTGAGGCAAGCTTCCTGCTGACTGGGTCCCTTGGATTTCTAAGTGAACCTGGAAAACTCTCTCTGGGATGGGAGCCCTTGCGCATCTGGGGAAGCACATCCAGGTGCGCCAAATGCTGCACCCAGGCCGGTCTCCCCTCCCCTCTGCTCTGACGGAGCTGTCCACGGACAGCACTTGACCAGCTATAGGCCCCTGCACCGCCCCTGTTCCCCTTCCAGTGTCCTCCCCTCCCTACCCTGTGGGGAAGGCAGCACCACTAGCATTTGATCATGGTGAAAACAAACTACAAAATTGCACAAATAAGAACAGTTTTAATAATTTATTATTATGATAAAATATCTTGAATAAATATGAAGTAGGAGCTTAAATAAATAAATAAATATTTAAATACATAAATACATAAATAAATATTAATGGTTCCTGCCAGTATAAAATTCCTCCACTCCCATGCCACACCCGGATCAGGGTCAGCATGGCTCAGAGAAAGTCCATGGCCACACAGCCCTGGCCCACCCTGTGGTCCCTCCGAGGTAAAGATCCTGAGTTCTGGCTCTGTGTGGGTGGGAGGGCAGTGATCTGTGAAATAGCTCCCAGGGCTGGCTCCTGCGCTGGCCTGCCTCACTTTTGGACTGGCTTCTAGCAGTCAGAGGGGATGGTGAGTAGAAAATCATTCAGGTTCTCTTTGAATTTTTTGAAAGTGATAATCTGGGTTGCACAGGAACTTTCCTTAAAGAAAAAAAAAAAGAAAACTTGAGTCTAGGCATGAGTGGGTAATCTGGGGGGAGCACCAGCATGTTTATACGTCTCTTGGAACTCAGAGGTCAGAAGGCCTGTCTGGGGCCTGCCTGCTGACCTGGGTCAGGTGACATGTTGCCACCTGTGTCACTCAAAGTTGGGGCCAGGGACCTGACAAAGTGCCTAAGGCTGGTCTTCTGGGCAGTTGGGCTACTGGCTCTTTGGTCCCAGGCCAGGACAGAGCAGCTTGGCTGAGGCTGGCTCCAAAAACCCAGAAAGGGCAGGAATAAAGGCCACAGACACCACTCTGTTCCCACAGGAAAGGAGTGTTTGGACTTTGTACATCGGGGTATGCTTCCCTCCTTGCTCCCATGCAACCCAGGAACCCCATGAGGGCCCGGGGGAATGTCCTATCGGGAGGTGGCACTTGGGCTCTGGAACTTCCTTTGTATCTTTGGCCTACCCTGAGTTTCCTTGGGTTTGCCTCACCTCTGACCTCATTAATGATAATAACAAGAACAAGAACAGAGCAGCTACCACTAGGGAGCGCTGTCAGCTCCGGAGCTCCAGGCTTGAACTCCTTGAGCCTGAAATGGGCTGGGCTGCTCTAATCATTACAAATCTGTTAACACAGACTCCCTTTGGAGTCCTTAACAACCACACCCAAAGGTTTCTCCCCAGTCCTCCACCCTCCTAGACCAAGACCTTCCCGCTTGGGGCCCTGACCGGGGCGGGCACTCACCGAGATATGGGGGCAGTGCTGTTTGTAGTGGCTGGCCAGCAAGGTCAAGGAGCAGTTGAGCCTGGTGAGGCTGCCCCGCAGGCCCTGTGTGAACAGCTTCAGGCGGGTCTGCAGGCATGTCGGCTCCTGTGGGAAATTCCTCGATAAGCGGTGGCCAAGTTCCCTCCCCATCACTTCTTCGTGTCCCCTGCTCACTGCAGTCACAGTCTGACTCCACCTCACTGCTCAACTCCGGCCACCCTCAGCCAGCACAGCTATATTCCCTTGGCCTGGCATCTCAAGAGGGTCCCAGCCCCTAGGAAAGGGGGGCACTGTCCCCTCACTATTCAGGGAGAAGGGGACAAGGCTCGCCTGAACTCCTCTGTGCCCCTCTGTAGCCATCACAGTGAATGTTCAAGCCCACAGCCCCTGCCTCATGACTAACCCCTGCTTACCCTCCTGTCCCTGGTGACCCCCTGCCCCTTGAATGCTAGGTCTGTCCATGGCTGCTCAGATAATAAGGAAGCTCACGCGACTGCCACAGGGGCAAGGCCAGTGGCCTTCTGGCACACCTCCTTTTGGCAGCCAGCTGACTGGAGAGGAAGTGGACAACCTTGTGAGAATCCATCTAAAATGGAGCCACCACTCCCCCGCCCCTCAAAAGGCAGAGGTCTCTGGAAAGTGTGTCAGAGAAAAGCATCTTACCTGGGAGACAAACATTTCAGAGACGACTTCTACTTTTTCATTCTATAGAAAAGGAAAATGCACTGTTATGAAGCTGACAGGAAGGCTAGTCCAGGCCAGGTAGGTGGGCCAGCAAGGTGGACCAGGCACAAGCCTCGTTCCTTCCCTCACTCACCATCACAGCAGCAGTGTCACTACTGTTTTTCAGAAGGCTCAGGGCTTCTCTAATGACTTCCACATGTAGAAAAGGCCGGGTGACAGGTCTGGATGGGTGGGTGGGTGCAGAGATGCTGTAAACCACAGTGCCCAGGAAAAACAGGTTCTGCAGCCACATCCTCCTGAGGACTTTAGCCTTTCTCTCTGAACACTGGGCTCACTGGCAAAAGAGCTTTTATATGCAGTTAGAGGAAATGATTAATGGTGACCACAAAACACCAGGGAGGTGGGGGAACTACCTGAACTGTGGAATCTCCTGGCCCTTATCAGCTACACATGGGAAAGGTGAGCCTTTCCCCCAGGTGGTCACCATCAGGGGGTTTCATTAATAAGCCCTTCCAAGAATCAGCAGCCCACCCGCCTGCCTCCTTGAGCACGCTCTAGCCCTCTCTAGGCAGTCTGACAGCCTGCTGAGGCTACCCCCTCCCTCTGAGGGGCCTCTGGGAACAGCTTGGACTTTCTGACCTAGAGTGGCTGGAGCAGTATCTGGGAGACACTAGATTGAGCTCCTATTCCCAGGCTCCCAATCCTGCCTGTTATCCCAAGAGGTCTTTGGGCTGGCTGTGCCCACCCTGTTGTCCATTCCAACCCCAGCCTTCCCTTCTCCCTCTAGACCCCTCTCCTCTGGCCACAGTGAGAGATATGAGTGTAAGGAGGACTCTCACTGCCCCACTGTCCCCTTAGGCAGATTCCGGCCAAATGGCATAGTCCTGCAATAGCTTACCTCAGGTCCAACCAAGGACCCAGAGCAGTTGACAAGTTCTGCTCAGCCAGGGTCCTCTTCCCCTACAGACCCCATGAGCAAAGGAAATGACAGCCATGTACCTTCCCAGCCAGCAAGACTGCAGAGTGTTCCTTCATGGTGAGATCCCATCTGACAGCCAGTCCTGGTTTACGCAGCCCATATTCAATCCCCAAGCTGCAGAGGTGAGTTGGAACTCTCTGCTGGGGTGGGACCCTGAGTATGAATCCTGACTCTAGCACCACCTGGCTGAGGACTCTTCCTTCAGCTCTGTGAGCCTCACCTCCCTCTGCAGGGCAGACTGCCCCTCTGAGGTGTGCAGGACCCTCCTACCTACAGTCCCTGGCAGGCACCAGGAGCTTCCGGTGGTGGCTGCATCCACACCAGGTACAGGGAACAATGCCCTCTCTAACAAGGCCTCCCAGGCTTAATTTCCTACATGGCCCCTGCCCCAGCCCACCTCCAGTTCCAGGGGCCTCTCTGTGGAACAGGAACTGCTTCTGGAAAAGCCACAAGCTCTTAAGGGCCTGACAAGTGTTTGATTTTCACAATGGAGTTTGGAGAGGATAGCACGAGGTTCGGTTTTGTTTATTTTTGTTTTTAATTAAAGTATAGTTGGCATATAATATTTTATTAGTTTCAGATGTACAACATAGTGATTTGACATTTATATGCCTTATGGTGTGATCATAACACTAAGTCTAGTACCCACCCATCTGACACCACACAAAACGATTACGATATTATTGGCTATATTCCCTATGCTGTATATTACATCTGGTGACTTACTTTCTAACTGGAAGTTTGTACCTCTGTTCTCCTTTACCTTTTTCATCCATCCTCCCACCACCCAGGACAGCACGCATTTGTGTCTGCTGCTCATGCTGAGTTTCGTGGCCTTGGGGGTGTGAGTCCGCATGTATACATTTCTGAGTGTGTGTGTGCCCATGTGGTTGGATGTGTCTATACATACAGATGCGTTGGGGGTATATATTTTACATGAAGTCATCTGTGTGAGCCCCCATGCCTCTGCAGGTGCCACTGTGATATGGGAGAAGATCCCTACACTGGGTGTGATGTTTCTGGGCCCCAGAGGCTGATTCAGCCTAGACTGATGGGGTCAGACACAAGCCAGGGCATCCTGCTGGGCTCCATGGACACCCCTTGGCAGCAGGTGGAACTCGTGGTCTGAATACTGTGGCCCAGGCCTGCAGCCCTGGTAAGCTTCACTGCGTTGTGGGAGGGTTGCTGCCCTTGCACAGGAAAGCCAAGCCTTAGTCCTTCTGACTCCACTGGGCTTCCTGCCAGGGTAGGGGGCCCACCACGAGGTGAGCCCTGCCCTTCTGAGCCCAGTGGAACATTCCTGGAGGGCCAGGCTGGGGGTGAGAGCGTGGTATGTCTAGCCTCTGGCTCTTCCTCCTATGAGGCCTCTGCTCAGCCCTTTCCAAGGAGCTCTCAGGGGGTCCAAGGGGAGTCAAGGACACTAGATGCCACACAGAGTTGGAGGTCTGTGTCAGACAATACCCTGGAGTCTCAGTGATGGGCAGCGGGGCCCACAGTCAGCAACTAAGCTAGTGGCCAGGGAGGGAGAGAGCTGGTATAGCCCCTCTGAGATGGAAGGTCACTTTTCTCCAGGAAATGATTTGATAGTTAGTCAACAAACTCCTCCAATCAGCAGCACCAGGCCTAGTCCTGGGGAGGTGGATGGGACTTTCCCACCGGCCCTCACATCTGGCCCTGAACACTGTCTGGTGGGGGAGAAAGACAGCAGTGGACACTCCCATTGGTGTGGTGCAGGCTGGGATGGGGGAAGTTCAGAGCTGAGGGGGTCTAAGGGGACCAGAGAGCTTCCTGGGAGATGCTGCCTCCTAGCGCACCCTGAAAGGGCAAGTAGAGTGGGTGGGCAAGTTGGGTTGTGGGAGGGAGAAGAAGGAAACAGAGAGAGTATGTAGGGCACAGAGAGGCCGAGGATTTTAGGAGCAGGTATGGTCAGACAAAGCAGGCTACAGAGAGATTTAGAAGATAGAACCTTGATAGGACTTGGTGATGTAATGGACTCGCTCATTCAGTATTTATTGAGCACTTACTAGGTTCCCAGCAGGGGAGAGGAATACAAGAATGGTGGGAAACAGACAGGGTCTTTCCTTTATGGACTTTGTAGCCCTGTCGATGGAGGAGCAAGATTTTAACCTACTCATCCCCCTCGCCAAATGTGCTCCTGGATATAAGTAAGAAGAGTCAGAACCACTGTACAAGTGCCTAAGGTGGAGACCCAGGGGACAAAGGAGCAGATCTGATGGGTCTAAGAGCCCATGAAAAGGTTCAGGGCCAGACCTGGGAGTGATCTGTGTCTAAGCGATCACTAAGGCCACAGAGGGTTGTTCAGGAAGAAGGGCTGACTGAAGGCCGGAACAGGAGCAGGGGCCTGATAGCTGGTCAAGGGGCTGATAGCAAGATAGGAGGGAGCACAGGAGCCACAACAGAGGTCCCCGCCAGTAGTGCGCTCTAAGGGTGCGGAAGTCAGCAGGCGAAGCGCAGAGGCTATGGGTTTGGCGATGAGGTTCGTGGGTAGCCACACATCTTCTGGAAAGATGACATCAGGGCTGAGGCCATGACACCGGCAGGCATTCCTAGATTGCACTACATGGAAACTGGCAGTGATACGGGTGCTAGCGGATACGGGTGCACTGACTCAGGGGCTCCAGGGTACTGTGGGAGGGCGGGGGCACGGCCAGGATGGGCAGTGTGACTCCTCTTTGGCCCCCTTTCTATAGGGCCAGGAGAAAACCCTCTGGAAGGGGTTTCCAGTGAATTTGCCTCCCACACGCTCTAGAGAAATTGGGCTTGTGGCCACCCAAGGATCTTTGTCAAAAAGGAAGTGATTATAAGGGGGAAGGAAATGGGCCTCTGAGTGCTTTGCATCCCATGGAACCTCTGCACAGGCATCTCAGCTGACCTCACTCTTCCTGGGCCCTCACTCTTCCTCACCCTTTGGTGGGGGTCCTTGTACACCCAGTCCGCACAGTCAGTGGTGCCAGAGACAGTATTTGAGCCCATGTTCATCCCTGCTCCCCCGATGTCTTCTATTCTCTCAGGGATCAGAAAGCCAGGAAATGCTGGCCACCTGGCTAGACCAGCAGAAGGACGTCCCCCTCAGTACGGCTATAAAGGGAGATTCCTCCAGGTGTTTTCAGAGAAGCAAGAATGGCCCGTGACTGTCCCAGGCAGAATTTCCACAGCAGAGCCTGCCACCCAGGCTTCTTTCTGTCTCAGGCTTGGGTTCTCCACCGATCCTTGAGTAGCCCAAGAAAGTCCCTCCTCCCTGAGCCTCTACTTCCTCATCTGTACAATGGGTTTAATGATCACTGCCTCACAGAGGAAACTGTTGCCTGTCCCAGGAAACTTTGTGAAGAATCCTCCCAAGGAGGAGGCAGTGCTTTTCAGCCTTTCCTCTCCTCACTCCACCATGTTGGGAGGTGTCTGAAGCACAAACTGGACAGAGGACTCAGCCTTGGTGACATTTTCGGGGACAACTTGCCTAGTTCCAGCCCCAGATAGCATCTTTCTGGACAGATGTGGTGAGGCGGAAAGCTCAGCCTCCAGCCATATTTGGGTCTCATGCCTTACCCTATGAGATCCCAGTGCTGGGACAGCACCATGAGTACTTCTCTGGGAGGAGGTATAGGTCACTCGAGGGCACCCAAGACACATGAAGCGACATCTTTGGCTTTCATGCTAGCAGCTCCAGGCAGACCCCTCCAGCATCTTCTCTGTCTAGGTCCCCAGAGGTGCACCTCCAAAAGGCCGGGGTGTAGGGCCAAACCTCAGTTCTGGTCCTGCTCACTGAGTGTCCTCAGACCCTGGGACTGGTGAGTCCTGACTGGTTTGGGAAGATCTGAGGATGGTTAACTTCCAACCATGTGTGGACTCTGGTCCGTAGAGCCAAGTCTCCAGGAAGGCCCACCACATGTCCCACCTCGAAGCACCCTGCATTCAGAGCCCACATCTGGTAGGGGACAGGGAGAACAAGGCCCCGACTCATATGTATGGTGTTAAGGATACCAACCAAGATGTGCAGCTGGAATGAACAGTCAGGAGAGGGTGGTAATGAAATGAGAGTGAACCGAGTTAAGAGAAGGCCATGAGGGAACTCTTTGGTTGTGTGGGCTTGAGGCAGGAGGTGAGTAAGGAGTCTTGACAGTGAGGCTGTTTGTTGTGATGGGGGAGGCCCAAGATGGCAGGGAGGTTGGGGAAGTCAGTCCAAACTGGACTGGATGTGGCAAGCTTGGGAGGCCAGGAGACCTCCAGGAAGACGGTCAGATGTGGGACAGGGGCCCAGAGGTCAGGGAGAGGTCAGGGCCCAGACATTTGGAAGT